GTCCTCACCCAGAGCCTTCGCAGCCCTCCTCCACGAGGGCAGGGTTGTGTGATGGTTGTGCGCTCATGTCTGGAGCCTGGATTTTATATCCTTGCCTCGCCACTCCTGAGAGTCTGACCTCGGGGACTGTGACTTAACCTTGTTGGGCGTCAATTTCCTCCCTATGGAAATAGAACTGATGCCTGGCGAAGTGGCTCACGCCTGTAATCCCAGCACTTTGGCAGACCGAGGCGGATGGATCACGAGGTAGAAGTTCAAGACCAGCCTGGCCAATATGGTAAAACCCCATCTCTAGTAAAAATACAAAAATTAGCTGGATGTAGTGGTGCATGCCTGTAGTCCCAACTGCTCAGAAGGCTGAGGCAGGAGAATCGCCTGAACCCAGGAGATGGAGGTTGCATTGAGCCGAGATTGAGTCACTGCACTCCAGCCCATGCAACAAGATCAAGACTTTGTCTCAAAAAAAAAAGAAAAAGAAAAAGAAAAAAAAGACCAAGAGTTTGAGACCAGCCTGTGCAACATGGCAAGACCCAGCCTCTACAAAACATGCAAAAATTAGCCAGGCATGGTGGCGCACGCCTAGTCCCAGCTACTCAGGAGGCTGAGGTGGGAGAATCACTTGAGCTTGGGAGGTCAAGGCTGCAGTGAGTCTTGATCACACCACTGCACACGCCAGCCCTAGGTGACAGAATGAGACCCTGTCTCAAAAAATAAAAATAGGGTAACCCTGAAAGTCTAGTACAAACCTTGGCACATAGTAGGTGTTCAACAAATGAGTCCTCTCCTTCTCCCTTAAGCCAGCATCCACTTTACCAATCCCTGGCAGCCTACAGCGAGGGTGAAGAGACGCCTCAGCTCACATTGAACCCCACCAATCACACAGTGTCCTGGGAAACTTACTTATCCACAAGCCCCGGTTTCTTACTGTAAAATGGGATCATAACAGAACCTGCCTCAAGAAGTGAGCCTGAAGCCTTTTTCTCTACGTAAAATGCTCAGTGCCTGATACAGAGCAAGATGCTCACAATTATTGCTCACTGCTGTCCTGTGTACGGCCTTGTAGCGTGAGTGCTGCTGATTGTGGGTGAGTGGCTGGTGAGGTTGGGTTCTGGATGGTTCCTGGATGCTCCCTTCCTCCTTCACTCTCTGGCCTGTGGATTTACAGCAGTGATCCCCTGAGATTTCACTTTTCTTGATTACAGTTTCCAGCAGCCAGCCACAGCCCGAAAATATTAAACAGAAAATTTCAGAAATAATTCATATTACATAGCATGCCATTCTGAGTAGGGTGATGAAATCGCACAGCAACGTGACTCATTCCTCTGTCCAGTGTCTCCGCACAGTAGGCGTTCCCACCCGTGAGTCACTTCATAGCACTCTTGGTGATCAGAGAGAAAAAGCCTAATCCACAGAGGTTCAGTACTATCCGAGGTTTCAGGAATCCACTGGGGGTATCGGAGGGTAGGCTCACGGATAGGGAGGGCTGCGGTAATTTCCTGCCTCCTGTGAGGTTTGCACCAGGCCTCTCTCCTATCGGTGGCCTGGCCTGGGCTCCTGAGACCACTCCTGAAAGGGAAGGATGACGGGCGCAGTGGTTCTCACCTGTAATCCCAGCACTTTGGGAGGCTAAGACGGGTGGATCACCTGAGGTCAGGAGTTCGAGACCAGCCTGGCCAACATGGTGAAACCCTGTCTCTACTAAAAATACAAAAATTAGCCAGATGTGTTGGTGGGAGCCTGTAATCTCAGCTATGTGAGAAGCTGAGGCAGGAGAATCGCTTGAACCCAGGAGGCAGAGGTCGCAGCGAGCCCCAAGATTGTGCTACTGCACATTCCAGCCTGAGCGACAGTGAGATTCTGCCTCAAAAAAAAAGAAAAGGGAAGGGGACTTTGGACTCCTGGGAACTGGCCAGGAGGCAGGGCAGGGGGACCCCCAGAAGCTGCAGCAAGTAGCTGCCTTCTCAGCTATGGAGCTGAGAACCAAGGGGAGGAGGGTGGGCTGCCAGCTGCATGGGACCAAGCCCTCTGGGCAGGGGGACAGAGGTGGAACAGCACAGCCCTCACCAGCAAGGCCATCAATGGAGATCTAGGCTCTCTAGAGAGCACTTTGGGGTGAGCCCATGAGGTAATGGCCAGCCACCCACCCCTCCACACCCCTTGGCCATCCCCAGGTGAGCTAAGTCCCTGGCTCCGTCACGCCTTTTAAGGAAAGGCAGCTCCCGCCACCACCTCCCTGTTCCCACTTGCTCAGAAATTCCCAGCAGTTATTTTTTCTTTTTTTCAGGAGGAATGGAATGAGACTCCTTGTTCTGTCACCGCAGGATTCCGGCAAGGCCTGTCTAGGGGTTCTGGTGAAAGAAAAGTGACAGGAAGCACATGCCAGCAGGCACTTGGAGATGCACCCTCAGTGACATGCACAGGCACGATGGCCACCCCACCCACCACAGGCCTCTGCTGGGGACCGCCAGGCACACACACACACACACACACACACAGCACAGATGAGGCCCAGGGATGTGGGGACCCCTAACAAACCCACCCCCCAACAAACTCACTGCATGCTGGACAGGAGATCCAGCTGGGAACCAGGCAGGCACAGGCATAGCCCATATCATAAAGCCCCTCCCTCGGCTCATACCTGAGCCCAGGAGCCTCAGGGCTTTTGCACTCACCGTTCCCTGCCTCGAGTGTTCCAGCACAGGGCTCCATGGGCAGGACCCTTGACACCCTTCACATCTCAGAGAGGCCTCCCCTACCCCACCCACATGACTCCATCCCAGTGACCTGTTTTATTTCTTCAGAGCCGTCATCACTTCTAAACTGCCTTGCTTTTTTCTTTAGACAGGATCTCGCTCCATCACCCAGGCTGGAGTGCAGTGGTGCAATCATGGCTCACTGCAGCCTTGACCTCCTGGGCTCAAGAGATCCTCCCGTATCAGCCTCCCAAAGTGCTGGGATTACAGACTTGAGCCACCACACATGGCAGGCAAGAAGGAGGGGCTGTTGGGCTGTCAACAGCAAAGGCTCAGCCCCCAGTCAAGCCAGGCTGCCCATGAGAAAGGCTTTCTGTGCACTTGGGCATGTGAACAGGTATGGGTGTGATGCGAGCCTCCACCTGCGACCTGCAGGTGTGTCCTGAGCCTGGAAGCATAGAGTACTCCTAGGGGACTTTGTTCTTTGCATCCTGTCATCCTAGCCATACCCACAACTGGGTACAGAGCCCTGGACAGGCAGCAAGGCTCAGCCAGGATATGTCAGACCAGCAAAGCCTTTCCTACCTGGGCTGGGTATGCAGCGGGTCTCTAGCCCAGCCTAAGGAATAGGGAAGGGAGGGGACAGGCTGGGGCCCTTGCCCACTCAGCATCCCCATGAGGACCAGATCATATACCAGGGAGACAAAAGGCAGCACCCAGGAGACCAGACAACCAGATCTCACACCTGGACCTGTCACTAAGGTGCCTGGTGGCCTTGGGACAATAGGTCGTGACTCGCTCCAGCTATTCACCTGACTCCCATGACTGCAGGGCATCCTGGGACCCTGATGCAGAAAGGAACCCTGCCCAATCCACAACCCCTGGCAGGGCTCTCTTGCAGGGCAGGTGCCACACTCACCCCCTGGTGGCTCTAACCTGAAGTGCAGTTCAACACCCAAGCGCAGGATGCAGTCAAGGATAGGAGGGGCTGCAGGAAGGAGGGTTCTGCCTTGAAACCAACTCCAAGCCAAGCTCAGAAAGGGCTGGAGACAAGCAGGATAGACAGACACATGGGGGAGGTTCCTGCTGCACACAACTGACCCGCCCCTGCCGCAGGACCCACATAGTACTTACCCCCTCCGCACCTTGAGAATTTTGACATTGTAGTGCTTCACCACACACCCTCACATCCACAGGTAAACAGCAACTACCTCCCCAGGTCCTGGTACCACACCCCCTTCCCCCAGCCCACAGGCACACCCAGCTATTGGCAACCCATCCACATAAGCAAACTTGACACGGGCCTGCCAGACACTGCTGGGTGGACAGTCAGCTGCTGCAGCTGTGGGCTCTACCCACAAGAACAGCGCCCTGCACACAGCCACAGCAGCTGAGGCTGAGGGACCAGCTTTGATGGCATCGCAAGGGCACTCGTATTCCACACCCTGTCCTGGTAGAGCCTAGGTGCAGCTTGAGCAAACACGGGGTCAACCAAGTGGGTCCAAGAGCCAGGGCCTGTGCTGGGCTTCACTGAGGTCACGAGGCTTCAGGCCAGCCCACAGGGGCCAGGCCCACAGCCTGGGGGCTTCCTTCAGCTTCCAGCAGCAGCCACACCCCAGCATCCTGGGCTTGAGACTGAGGGTGGCAGGCACTCAACATGGGGTGGGATACAGGGGCCATGTCCAGTGGTAACAGGGACTGCACCAGCCAAGTTCCAGAAAGCAGACCCCAGCCCAGAAGGGACACAGCCCTGGCAGGTTCCAACTAGGCTTCCAGGGGCTGAGCCTGGGCAAGTTCCTTCACCTGTGTGCCTGGGCTCACGTTCTCCCAGTACCAGGCTTTGGGTGCAGGTTACAAAAGAACCTGAACAAGCCTTAACTGGAAGCCACCCTTCCCTGGATTAATTTAAAAGCAAGTTAGCTTTTTAGACAAGGAATAGACACAAGGTCTGCATGCACATCAGCATCAAAGGCACCGGGGAACACCTAGTACTCCTTGTCTCCTTCCCCTCTCCACAGCACTGGCATCACCCAAGCTGTGCAAATAGCAGAGACCCAGCTGCCTCGCCCAGGTGACAAACATTTGCACAATGCCCGCTGCTCGAGGCTGGCTTTCTACAGCTCAGCGGCAGAACCAGGCCGCTTTTACCTCCCTCCAGGGCCTGAGAGTGGGGACAGAGTGGGAGGTCAGAGGGTAACAGTGTAGCTACAGAAAGGAGGGCAGTGGCCTTGGGGAGCACAAGGCACCTTGGGGGGGCCTCATCTGCCTCCCCAGTCCCAGCTGTTCTCCTGGAGAAACAGGCAGATGTCAGTGGAAAATAACTTTTATTGAGACCCCACCAGCTGCAAAATCTGTTCATGGCATTAAGCTCCTTCTTCCTTTGCAATTCGGTCTTTCTTGAGTGGTCCCATGAATGCTTTCTTCTCCTCCATGGTCTGGAAGCAGCCATGGCCAAACTTGGAGGTGGTGTCAATGAACTTAAGGTCAATCTTCTCCAGAGCTCGCCGCTTGGTCTGCACCAGCAAGGACTTGCAGAGGGTGAGCACCCGCTTCTTGGTTCCCACCACACAGCCTTTCAGCATGACAAAGTCATTGGTCACTTCACCATAGTGGACAAAGCCACCCTGGAAAACAAGATCATTGGATCAGCACAGGGCCTGCACTAGGCACAAGAGGAGATTGTGCAGGGATGACCCCTCCAGGTTCAGGCCCCCCCTGACCACAGGGCTGTTCTCAGAAGGAAGGCAACAGGAATGGTTCCGCAGTCTGTCTCGGGCGCTGTGCCCAGCGCACATTCCAGGCCTCATCACTGAACAGCTGAGCCTGAGACTCCACTTCTCACCAGCCAACCCCAACTGGTGGACTCAATGACAACATGGCTGTTTACCCAGTACACAGCTAGGTGCTGTGCCGGCTTCAGCTGACCTGCTAACAGCCCGTAGGAAGCAGAACACCCGTTACTTACCAGAGGGTTGATGCTCTTGTCAGACAGGTCATAGTCAGTAGAAGCGTTGTTCTTGATCAGCTTGCCGTCCTTGATAAGGTAGCCCTGGCCGATCTTATAGATCTGAATGAACAAGAAGGGTGTCAGGCTGGGACGTTAGGGACAAATAACCCAGACATGCCAGTGGGGTGGCCTGCAAAACACTATAGGAAGGCAGCTGAGGCCTCAGTCCCAGCCATCGGGCAGTCCAATTTCAGAGCAAAAAGGTGGCTGGCCCTCCAGGTTCCCTTCTGTAAGGTGGCTAAGCTAAAACTAAAGGTCCTGCTGTACAACGCAGGAGGCCTCTCACCCCCTGGTGGTGGGACCAGACACCAGGAAGTCTAGTATCCCCAGCCACATCAACCATCAGCCCCACCACAGCCACTTTACAGGATGGCACCTTACAAATCAGAGCCAGAACTGACCCGAGACACAAGCCACTGACATCTACATGAGGCTCATGAGTCAATGAAGCAGTGCTGACACAGAAACCCCAATCACGGGGTCACCTCCCACCAAGGAGCCACTCTCAGAACCTCACCTTCTTGTTGATCTCAGTGCGGTGATGGTATCCTTTCTGCCCAGCACGTGCCACAGAGAAGGCCACACGGGCAGGATGCCACGCCCCAATACAGG